GGAGTGCGCAGACTAACCATTATGACTCCTAACTCCTAAAGTGGGCTGTCTCTAGAAGCGCAAGTAATGCGCCCTCCAAGGCGCACCAGAACGCCAATGAACACAACGTAGAACATACTCCTAAGAAGTTATCGCATTAAGGCGTATTCCTTTTAGCGAGCAGCGAGAGAGGCATTTTCTCCACTGAGCATCCTACCCTACGCAGGCTATGCCTTCTTCTTCAGCAGAGTCTCTTCATCTTTCTAGATCTCAGGCAAGCAGGGGTGCGTCACCGCACGCGAGCATTGTTTTTTCGTTCATGGAAAGACTACGCTGTCTTTCCCGAAGCATCACATCATTTGTCTGCATGCCGTGCATTCTTACGCGGCATAGACGTTGCCAGTGCCTCGCAAAGCTTTTACCAGATCCTTCGCGCCATCTACGCTCCCATATTCCTGCTCCTTTAATTTTGGAGATTATATTCTTGTGGCATGACACAAAGTGTAATGCTGTGTATTACCTTCTTGCAAGTGTAGTGTCCAGATATGTCCTCGCTGATGTGTTATTCGAGTTTAATGCATTTTAAATATCAATGGGGACATTATTCTGCATCTACGGATTGATATCAGTATTTAGACTAACTAAAGTGCCGTATGAGATGTTATGGCTGCGAAGGCTCTGGAGAGGGATGGAATTGTGGGAGAGGTTCGAGCCTAGCAATTAACACGTCCAGAATACTCTCTATCTCAGTGAAGCATTCAGCAATTCGCGTAAAGCCTAGATCAACCTTTTGTTTGAGTCCCCGGTGTTCTTTCTGAATTCTCGAACTGGTGCATTTACAATCATCTTCCGATGACTCGGGCTGCTCTATCCTCTTCTGTTTGCGGTCTGTGGGGAGGAATCTATAATATTGGTCCCGGACTAGGCTGCCATATCAGGCTTTATGATAGAGGGGAAAATAGGTAAGGGTGGAGAAGACGCAGGTGGGGCAGCTGTAAGCGTATTTATACGTTCCAGCATCAGAGCCAAATGTTGCTTAAACTTTTGATTTTCTCGCATTAGACGTTCGATAGTCTCCTGAGTTTTAGAGTTTTCCTTAGCGTCCAAGATTGTAAAAAAGAAGCAGGAGGTTTGCTTTGCCCAGCTAACCTTTTCAGGTTTGGTGCCGAAGTCGCGGCTTTGTAATGCGCTTCGTCCAGGGCTTTTGCTTCTGTTTCTACGGTTTCGTCCAGCACTCTTGCTTTCGCTACTACAATTTCCATCGCCGATGCTTGGAAAAGAATCCTTCTCTAACTGGAACTCGGGCTGCTGGTGCTGGTGCTCCTGTTGCAGCCTCTGTCGTAGGCGAGAGGGACGGCTGAAGCCGCGCTGAAAGCGCTGCTTGCATACCCTGTCGCCCATCTTGTGAGCATCTCCACAGATAACGCACTGCGGAGTGCAGGGGTAGTCCTTCGGGTGTTTCTGTCCGCAGCTTGAGCAAGTGAGGCGATTCGGCAAAGGACATACATCTCGTCGGTGGCCAACTTGTCTGCAATTTAGGCACGCTTTCACCTTCGGTTGAAAGTTGAAAACGGCGTAAAGGATGCCAAACATTTTCCCTCGGGCAGGAAGCTTCCCAGTCGTGAAATGAATGAGCACTAAGCGTGAGGTGCACCCATGTTCCTTGCTTGAACTATTGGTGGAAGGGGATTGGCCCGACGTAATTCTTGCAGGAAGTCCTGACGTTATTCACCATTTCAAGCGCGGTGGATTATCTCTGCCCGTGCCCTGTCCGGGGGAGCTATGTACGCATGAAATGCAAGTTTTTACCACGTAGTGTGAGTTCTCGTATTTTTGCATAGTTGGCAACTCGTTTGTCGCAAGAAGTGGACACGGTGAAGGTTTTCTTGGCCAGGTTGGCGCACACAATCCTTTCTGCTAGAAAGGATTGTGTCAAACCTTTACCAGAAAGGACTGGGCCGAACCCTTTCTGCTAGACGTGTGGCACATACCATGGGCGGGTATGTGTGGCACATGCGTTAGACAGTTAATACCTACCAAGAAATGACAAAATCATGCATTTTAATTTAAATACGATGGCGTTTAAAGTATAACACATGGCCAACTTTGACCAGACTCATCCAAAGAATACACGCTAGGGTCTCAGCAAAAATGAACCCAAGCATTTTTCGTGAAAATCAAATATTCTACCATAGAGCAACGCCAGCTCTCAGAACTACTGTTTAAATGCACCCTAATGTTCGTGATACGTCAATTGTGGTTGCAGTGCTCAGTATTTAATTATATGAACATTACACACATTACAGATGTCTCATCGGGTTATTGTCAGTTGTAGTTAGGGGCCATCCGCGGGAGTAAACTTACGCAGCAGTGTGCGAAACCATAGCATCCTCTCGAGCACCAGCTCTTCATATCTGCTTACCGTTTATGGTGTTGCCAATATCCATGTTGCTATAGGCGTCGTTACGCAACTTTAAGAACTGGTTGTATTGAATGTATGCGGCTGTTTAAAGTATGCCTCTGTGCGTGTAATTTTTACATATCTTTGGCGACACTTCATAACGTGTCGCTCAATAAAAAGAAACTACTGCACAGTCTTCACAAATCTGCATTCTTTGCATAACACTCATTCGCAAGGCAGGCGGAATCTGCCTATTTTCGGTACTAGATAGTGGGGTCAGCAGCCTATTCATGTGCAGGACCAAGTAGCATGAAGGACACAACGGGGGGTGTGGCACAAAAAAGTAGTGGGAGGAAGGAGCGGGTTCATGCAAAGCGTAAATGTTTGCCCGGAGGACCCTAGTTATGTAAACCTGTATTGACATTGTGGTTATTTTTAGCACTCGCGCTTCTTGCAAAGTTGCAATCAAACATAAGAGACAAGTGAAACTCCGAATTTAGATTATAATCGGCATGCTGGCCTTCAGACAGGAAGTGGCAAGGAAAAGGGGTGGGGTGTTTCAAGCCGTGGCGTGGCGAAATAATACTGCTATGTGGGCCGCAAGCGGACCGCTGTCCGCACGTTGCCGACCCCTGCTTTAAAGCATGCCGAATTTTTCAGAACACAGCACAGTACGTAATACTCCAAACTGTAGTTCATGTTCAAAAGAGACATGGTGCATAGTCATGAAATGTTTTGATTATTATTGCAGTGATATAGTAGTTTATTTGCAGGATCAGTAATGTCTGCGTGAGATTTTCGTTGCTGTACTCGGGGGCAACTTACCTTTTCTATGGCAAAATATAATTGGGCCACAGCTTCTGCATAATTATGGCCAGGTGGTACACTCTCGTAGGCTTCGGTCCGCGTATCAGCTTTCCTTTCGTCTTTCAACCTTAACTTTTTACATTTTTACCTTCCTTACACATAGGAACGTAAAAAAATACACGCATCTCTACAAAGTAAACAATGACCAAGTGGACAAAGCTCGCGCCATTGTATGGGTGAGAACCCGTATCTCATTCTAACGTTGCCCATTTAATCTAACTTAAGTGTCATAAAGTGACATGAAATGACAAAGTGACTTCTACGACAAAGGTGGGTCCGAAGTCCATAATGTCAACGCTGAAGTCGCTGAGCAGTGTAAAGGGTTTGTGCTTGTACGTCCTACATATATTAAAATCACAGACTAACATTGATCATATTATAGCAAAACATTGTAAAAACTTACATGCCCAAACTTTCTATACTATTCGATGACTTGAACGTAGACAGTATGAACCATAATACCTACCTTTGTCGTTGACTTCGTATGTCACTTTATGTCACTCAGTTAACACTATTTGCCGCAACGCTCGGGCAACGAACAGCAAGAAGCACTGTTCTGTCTTCTCTTGTGCTGTTCTTGTTGCACGAATTATTTTTGCGCCTCAGCCATCTGCACTTTATGCAACAACTCGCCCAAAAACACGTCGTTTTGGTTGTGTTGACCATGTAGGTGCTCTACACGTGGGGCTGTTCCCGTATGCGGAAATGTCTTCTTTTTTTCCTGGATCTTCCTGCGGACTATGAATAAAGTTCCACTATCCATCCATCTCTGACTGTCAATAAACGGTCCGTAGTTGGAAGCTTCACTTTCTTGTTTTTGGTCCCCTTTTTCACGAAATGTATTTTGCGCCACAGTAAAGTGTAATTAAACAACTTGCAGTATATGTTAATAATATAATAAATATAACACTAGTAACTAGTATATATAATATGAATATATTGTAATATAATATCACTATTACTGTATTGTTGTGGTCGTCGTCATTGTTGTTACTGTTATGCCAGTGCAACATTGGCTTTTCACATGCGACAAAATTGGAATACACCTTATCGGTCAGACTCATAGTTACAAGTAGAAGCTATCCCCTTCTATGGCGCATACCACTTAGTATGATCAAAATGTTGATGTTGCACATTAGGCCGTGAACGGTGCACCTTTTCGGCGCTCTCTAAAGGTGCGTGTTCTGACTTTTTAAGAAAAAAAAAACGCTTAGAAACATAATAAAGTATGCGATACATGTGACCATTCACTAGAAATGTTATGCCTTATCACCGCATGAAGCAAACAGTCTTACCTTTTCTGTATCAAGGAATTCGTCAGCTGCTGTCTCTGCTGCAGGCGTCTTCGAATTTGCTGTCATGTTTATTCTCCGGGATGCTCCTCTACATGATAGTCCTAATGTTATCTCGCCATCAATAAAACAACCTATCATAATACGTCGCGAACAGGATGTAGATGTTACCACGCTTCTTTTATGATCGGTTCATTAAACCGTGCTCCACGTTCTGAAGGTGGCAATATGGACGAGTGTACACGTAGTATATCTGAGCGTACGCTCAGTCTCCATTACTTACTCTGTGCGGGCATTGTGTTCGTCCCTGGTGGTTTTATTAACTGACGGCTCATAAAACGTCTGTTTTACGTAGGTTGTGCGGAAAATATAAAACGAGGTTGCATGCAGTCCTGCACTAGATGTGCAGTAACATGGAGCCGAAGTTATTTTAGTCAATAACAAAAAAAAAAGAACTCAAATGTCTTTAAAGATGTAACGCTTCTCTCTTGTTTGTTTATTTTGTAAACAGAGCGCCAAAATATGTATTTCCTTGACGTTTTAACATCAAGCCTAATTAGGTGATTTTGAGGACAACAGTTCATATCAGTATTTTTCGCTCACTTCACTGCAGTATACTTCATGTAATGCCATTCTCCTTCTCTGTGAAAGCGTAAAGTTTTGTTGTTTAGAAATGTCCCTTGCCATAGACAGTTAGAGCATCACTTATTCTGGAAGCAAGAAGCCAATTGGAAATATATACTGTGGCGTATTCACTGCAATTTTCTACTTGCGGACTTTTCACCCGAGTACAGTTTTCTTTCTTATTGGTAGAAAAACAGTAGAGTATTTCGAAAAATTGCTGATGTGCTCACTTTTTTATGTGGTCTTTCAGTGGCTCTTCTTTGCGAAAGCAATGCTAAAAAGGAAGCGATGGCTTTACTCACGCAGAGGACACGCTTGCTAAAGCTTAACGTGCGAGTCTGTTAAACTGGATAAACGACCGTCGTAACACTTGCACTTGTCAGTTTCAACACGACTCCAAAACACAACATGACTGTGTCCGATCCTCAACGATGAAGATTGATGAGCGCCGCCACATGAAGCCACTTCCTGGGTTGATGATGTTCGCGAAGGTTCTCCAACTATGGTCTTCGGCGTCGAAGTGATTATTTTCGTCTTGTTCTTCCTGCCCGTCGTCCGTTTCGACCACCAATGGCCAGAGTCCCACGGGGAGAGGCCAGATATTTAAGAAGGCCACACGAAACATTAAACGGCAACAGTCAACGTAACAATACCCATCAATAATTCATGATTTCACTACGTATCACCCTGGTCTTCGCGGACATCGCGAGTAGCCCTGTTCACGCTTTCGCCTCCATCTGCAAGAACCCAAGAAAGTTATGGTAACAAATACAGTACAGCATGTGTATCGCGTAATCGACAGCAATAGTTTCAGTTTCCAAGATTTCGTTTTTTGCTATATTTTTATAGACGTATTTATGTTATAGGTAACATACGCATATTTTTAGAACAAAGAGCACAATGCGCTTTTTTGCTGCATTCTTAAAACGCACTTCTGCGAAGTACTCCACAAAGAGAAAAATTGCTTCATTCCGGAATCAGGGCGCATCGAAATCATATTACATTGAAATGCATGAAAAGTAGGAAATACATGTGATGTATTGCGTTTGTACTAAATCATATCGCTTTCGAAACTATGTTGGACTAATCTGGAAAAAAGTAGAACAATGCGAATGAGAACTTGAAAGGTTCCTCAAACTCCGTGCCAGGAAGTGTGCGTTTTGAAAAATAGAGAAAATGTACTTAATGCTCGTAGGTTCCTTTTTCATTTGCCCTGTTTAGAGCGGATGTTTTTGTTGCAACCTATTCAATGTGTTTTGTTTAATGCGAGGTTGTTGAGAATTTGAACATGCTAATTTCTCAAGTGGCCATGTTTTTCCATTGTGCTGGCCATTGAGAGCCTCACAAAGATTTTTATATCAAAGGTGATGCTGATCAGCTTGCTATGACAGGCGTCTAGAAACCCTTCTTCAGTTTTCATTTCATGTCTGAATGTATGTATATCAAGATGCTGCAGGTTGCCACGTGATGGTGCAACGCCACGTTGTTTGTGCACTCGTCCACGTTTTCTCGTCAACAAATCTGTTGAATATTGCACCACTCAATGCGTTTCTATTAGATCATCAGATAAAACCATAAAGAGACAATCACGCAACAAAAATTACCCGTGGACTACCTGCATAAACGTCTAATGCATGATGCGTTAAACAATACTAGGCGCACTTGCATTTCCTCACCAGCACTGTTGATGACCTCCTCACCCTCTGTTTCGTTCGCACTGCATCTTGGGATTAACTATGCTTTCCGCTGCTTTTTTATCCCAGTTTTGTGTCCATTCCTATCACTTTGTCTCTCTATCGCTCTCCCTATCCACTTTTTTCTCTCTTATTTTTCTTTCGTAGCGCATCGTATGTAAAGCTAAGGTAAGTAGAACCTATCGATTGATTGATATGTGGGGTTTAACGTCCCAAAACCACTATATGATTATGAGAGACGCCGTAGTGGAGGGCTCCGGAAATTTAGACCACCTGGGGTTCTTTAACGTGCACCCAAATCTGAGCACACGGGCTTACAACATTTCCGCCTCCATCGGAAATGCAGCCGCCGCAGCCGAGATTCGAACCCGCGCCCTGCGGGTCAGCTGCCGAGTACCTTAGCCACTAGACAACCGCGGCGGGGCAAGTAGAACCGATCATTCTTTAGAATATGAAGTATTGGTAAATGGTTCATTGGCTGTCTATTGGTAGTCATAGCCTATCGGCAGTGCATTTATAGGTTGTGGGGTGGTACGACTAAGCAGATTCAAGCATATGCGTTATCAGCTAGGTATTGGTTGGCTATCGATTGGCAATACATTGATTGGCATTTGGCAATCACTACGCTTTGATTAAGCATTTCGGCTGTGTTGAGCCCAACTAAGTACCTAGAGTGTATTGGTTGTTGATCGGTTGTTGATTATCTATTACCCCTCTTCCTTTCTATACTATACTACGATATGTCTTGCTGTCTTGTTTTATAGCACTTATCCAATTTTAGGAGCGCCAACCAACGAAGTTTTTACGAACACCACACGCAGAGAAAAAAGCTTAAACATCTAGACTGTTTAAGCTATCACGCAAAAAGTTCAGCAGTAGGATGCAACGCTCCATTTGAAAACATTCGCACGTAGTATAAAAGAGATAAACAGCAACGCCTTAAGATTTCTACGATGACTTCAAAAACCTAGATATCAGGTATTCATAGTGTTACATCTGAATTCAAGGAAAGTTTAGCAAAAGCTTCCTTACCTCTCTTATGCGGCCCAGAAACAATATAGATGCTTATGCTCAAGATGATGCAAAAATATGACAGGATGGGCAGGCGGGATGCTTTAGATGCACCTACAGGAGATCAGAAACAATGCGTGCATGTGTACACTAGCTGCACAAAACCATAAATAGTATTTGCAGTAAAATATATTGGTGTTTCTAATATATTACGCTATGGCTTATATTTGTAATTATCATCCTCCTTTTCAGAGCCCAAAGACTATTCAAAGCTTGACAAATGAATTGGCTGTGCTCAACAAAACATTAATGTAAGGCTTACATAAGTTACTTATTTTCTCACAGTTAACAACAAATAAACATTCTTTACCAAGGAAGCAGTTATAACTGATAATCTACAAAGAAAAGCTATCATGTTAGAAGTACTTACCGTAAGCTCCCCAGGTAAGCTCTGCGGGAAACAAAATTGACAAGGAATTAGTTTGAAGAAAATTTAGATGAAACTTGAAAAACAAAACAAAACCAGAAACAGATGAAGCCTAGATTATGTAAAGCAAGGTTGGGTCACAGCAGCGTTGTGGACACGTAGCTCGTCTTCACCGTTTTGCACCTTCACCTTTCTCTTTCCCACCCGTCGCTGTACTAGTAAAGGGTGTTTCAAGAAATCTGTCCAATATTATTCGAAAATGGCAGAAAACATGCATCTGCGTGCTACCTGTAGCGTTCGCATTTACTTTGGCGGAAGGCATCTTCGATGTGTACAAAAAATAACTCCGGCTGTAATATAAAAGCAAAAAAAAATTAGCTTTTTAACCAGTGGAAATAGCCAATCGAGTTCCATTGGCGAATTAAAGTACTCAGTACGAATAGTCTGTAGCCATTTTCAAGTTTCCAAAAAGTGGCCACTGGTAATCAGGAACGTCTAAATATGAATAGTTTAGCTGGCGAAACCGAAACCGATGCACCAAACTGCGCATCCACCATTCACTTCGATAACGCCCTAAATGACGACATTGTTTCTCTTGGCGTAATCAACCGTCATTCTGGACGCTTCGCTTCGTGACCGCTCATTGACGCTCACCTATTCTTCTCCCCCAATGCGAGGAGAAACAGTGTCGCCATCGAGAGCGTTTTCAAAGTGAATGGTAGTTGCGTTGTTTGGATGCATGGTTTTCAGTTTCGCTTGCTAAATTAGTAACACTTCATCTCTCTGTAGTTATTGACTTTGGCCACCTTACAGAAATTCCAAAGTTACTCTGAACTATCTGTAGGAAAGGCCTTCAATTCACCCATTCGACTCGACTGGCTGCTCGCACTTGTTTAAAAAGCAAATGTTCAATTTTTCTAAACAACTGCCATAACTAATGTTCGTACACGTCTGAAGCTGCCTGCTGCACACATAAAATGAACGCCGCAGGAAGGACGCATATGCCTCCTTTCTGTGATATAAATAGTATTGGACACATTTTATGAAACACACTGTGTTACAGAAACGCATTCTTTCTCTTTTTTATCTCTGTTTACGATGTGCATTTGTATCTCTCTCTCTCAGTGCCTGTCGCAAAACCTCGACCATAGCACCTTTGCTGAGAAACTCGTACAGCGAGTGTAGGCCCCAGATTTGGCCATACCCCACAGCTGATCACAAGGGTTTACTTTAAAGTAAAAGAGACACACGGGCGGCGAATACCGATTAGGGGCTTCAAGTAGCAGCTTTTGTTGATGGCCATGTGTGACGAGTTCTTGGGGGCTAACTGAGCTTGAGACTGTTCATGACGATAATTTTTTTTTACGTAAGACACATGGCAGACATCGACCGCAACATCTCTGCTGTAATATATTGCAAGAATTTCAAAACATTACTTCGTATTGGCTTTCTACCATGGTATATCGAGTCTAACAGAGTTTGTGGACAACTCTTTTTTTATTCGAAAGCACAACTCTTTTTAGATAGATAGATGTATAGATAGATAGATAGATAGATAGATAGATAGATAGATAGATAGATAGATAGATAGATAGATAGATAGATAGATAGATAGATAGATAGATAGATAGATAGATAGATAGATAGATAGATAGATAGATAGATAGATAGATAGATAGATAGATAGATAGATAGATATGTTTGTTAGCCTCCAGTAGTATGTGGAAGAGTTGCTATGTCGTACTTCCAATTATGATAACGGAAGGAAGAACAGGAAAGCAATGAAAAGACCAGCACTACAAAACGGAAGCAAACGGTTCACCGGAAGTATTTTACATTTATTTCTTTTACTTTTATGAGTGTACGTTTTTTAATCCGAAAAAGAGTGAATCATCAAGCATCTTAACAAATATTTGTCCAAATGTGCGGTCTTCTTTTGTCTCGGAGATTCGTGGCATCTTAAGCGACGTTATTTGTGGCTGCTTGTACAAGCAACCATTAGACTAGGTGGCAAAAAAAAATTGTTTGTCTGAGGTGTAGGTGTGCATTACGCATTCTTCTTTAACATTGTTTTCTGAGTGAGGCGTTTATTTGTGTTGGCGTAATAATACCGAGGGTTTTACTGACCAAAACCAGCATGCGACTTACGCAAGCTTCAAGGAAGAACTCAAGAACTTATGGTCAGGTTTTGTTCTTGATATGGCATTTTTACCCAAAAAAGTTTTAATAATATGCATACTCCTTTGTTTTATGCAAGGATATTCGAATTCAGTAAGTGATACTCGTAAGACCTATTCTTTATTCTGTACAACGAACAAATATAAGATGCACATATATTGCAGGAGTACGGCAGAGGAAATGGCGCGTACAGTCGAATCTGAAAAAAAAATACTTTGCTGCTTATTGTATGTTGTAAAGAAAACCTACATCAGTGACCCTAATATATGCATGAAATCGAAGTGTCCGTTACGTTAGTTTTGTAGTTAGCATTATTTATTGGTTGTACGACAGCCCAAAGTAAAACGAAACATTGAATGACGTCGTCCAACATAGCAAGAATGCATTATTCAAATGTGATGACAGGACCTTCTCCTTTTTTCGGGGGAAGGAGAAAGGGGGTCAATATTAATTTTTTAGTCAGGTACAACAGCTGTTGAGAAGTTTGGGTATATTGTAGTGGACCTGAATTTCCAGACAGAGCCGCAAGCACACGTCATCCGCGACGAAGGGGAGTTTTGGTCAGTCGACGGGTTATGTGAAGCGCAAGGGTGTTCCTGGAACCCGAGGCCAGTCAGTTAAACAAACCAGTCAGTTTGCGAAATGCAATGAGAACCGTTTCGTTGTTTGCTCCGCAAACAGTACAGCTCTGCAAGCACGCCCACCAAACGACGAACTACACGCGCACACTGTACGTGCTGGTGGCTCGTTTCGTGCGCGTACTTTCGTGATGTTCGCAGATCAAATACGCAAAGTTATGTCACGTCACGTGGATATTTAATGTTGATGCGCTATGTAAGTACAAAATCACAATTCTCGCAGTACCGTGCTTACCAGACTATAATAACTTTGCCCAACTTTTCTGCGTCGGTCAAACCTAAAAGCTATAAAAAAGAATTTAGTTATTTTAGTGAAGCTGGGCTTTCTTTATTTGTGGCTTGCTATGGGTGCTTCTTTTTAATTAGTGTGGTACTCACTATAAGGTTCCGGCGTCGGGGTAATTGTAGTTGTGTACCTATAATTCATTACTGCTGTTTAGCTACATTACATAATGACGATATGACAGGTTCACTTGAGCGTAAAAGGATGACTCTAGATGCACGACTATACATAGGAAAACTTAAGTAATAGTGGGAGCATTTTTCGTACGAATCGGCACACATTTCCTAAATCTTTATAAATTAGACTTGATTCAACTAATGTGGTAGCTACGGTAGCTGAAAAAAGTTGTGATATGCAAAAGCATCAGGAAGTGCAATTATCATGAAATTCGGAATTATTAAAATTGGTATTGTTTGATTGGCATCATGTATCGCAGGGATGTTTAGGAAAGTTTTTCTACGTGCATATCGTACCACGTAGCAATCGTACATATAACTATATGGTGGTGCAGTGGTCCATTTATCAGAAACCAAATGCTTATACGTCATCTTTCATATGTCATGCACCCTATTTGTGAGCTTTACGGTAAACATTTGCAGAAGAAACCTGGAATGTTGCAACTGATGCCATGCTATAAGATGAATACTTCCTGTGTATTATCGTACATACGTAAACGCACCATGTTCTTACAAAAATCTGCTTTTGCAAACTCGCTCATAACTACATAGTACATCGGATCGGGCCGAGCGAGAGCAGCCAGCAGTTTCACACCATCATTAATGCATAATTTTCGTTCACGCTTTTTGGGTGGTGTGCATTTTTATTATTTATATGTAAGAAGAACTGGATACAATGCTATGGCTTTTTGTTGTAATTTGCTGTAGTTAGCCACACTTTCTTTAACCTAAGCAATGAAGTTTATTGTCTGGCGATGAAAACTCAATTTCAGAAGTGTCGGCCAAGTGCCTGTAAAATTAGCCAAATATCGAAAATTGTGAACTTGGAACCGATACCATCATATTCCGTAAAGACTGCAGTGGCACATACAAGACAGAAGTTGTGTGCAATGTGCAAGCAATCGATAGACAAACATTTTGAGTTTTGAACGCAGGGCATAACTGATGCTAACCTTTCGACAGTGGTTTTTCTCTAGTCAGGGCACTGACTGCTATCTGGAGGAAGAGATGTGCCATGTGTCGAAACATTAGCTCCAGAGACACCTCATATTCACTAACTTTTCATCTCCAGAAAGACTGTGATGCAGGGCGGAGGGTCAGATATTTGAATCTGGATATAAGAATGAAAAATTGATCTCTCACCGTGAGTGACAGTCATTCGGCGTGTCAGCACGTAGTTGCTGTACGGTATCTCCAGCACGCACTCGAAGAGGTCGGCCAACGAGGAGAGGTGGCCCTCGAATGCGTCAGCGTGCAACGCGACGTCGAAGAGGCCGTCTTCGATTGTAGCCGTCGTAAACGTTCGGAGGCCCGCCTCTGTCGCGGGTCTCCGCCTCCCTCCCTTGAGTAGGAACAATGTCAGCACTGGCTGGGGGAAAGTGCCCCGAGCCACGCACTGAAGACTCAACGGGAGCTCCGCTGTGTGCGGTCGGAGAAGCCGGTCAAGTGGTGGCGGTGAATTACTGTAGTTGAAGGAAAATGTCCTTGCGGGTACTGCAAGTAAAGAAAAAAAAAGGAGTGTCTTTGAAAAGTATTCACTGAATGAATTTTGTATGCAGTGTGGTATAGGACGTATTCTTTATGCTACGTTCAGTACAATAGCCGGACAGTGGCGGTGAGCGTAGCTACAACAGTGTCTTTTATGGCCTAGAGAGTTTCCAGGACTGTCAACGAAAATGCACTGAGTCGACGCCCCTTCCGTGATGTATACCTCTTATGTTACGTATTCGGATCTTGTGCAATGCTAGAGGGTGTCAATATCTGTGGACTATTCTTTCATATGCCAAAGTGACATAGCAGACATAAATACTTGGCAACTAAACTGTACTCTAATTGGTTTTTGAAATTATTTAGGCCTTTTTTAATTTTAAACGGGTACTAACTGTGACCATAAATGTTTGTTGATTTAGATGTGAATTCATGCTGCAGCATAGTTAAGGCATTTAGGCTTCAACCTGAGCGCCTCAATTTTTCTGCGAAGAGGGAACATAAGCTATCAGTTTAACATTCAATACGAGCAATCGACGCTGAAGTTCGGCCCATATACGTACTCTCCTCTGGAATGACATCAGCCCTAACTGTCAGAAGAACAATTAGCCATTGCCTTGTTGCTACGCCTAATTTATTTATCCAATATTGATCGTTCTTCTTCGTCGAGTCGCCGTAACTCAGTGGCACACCAGCACCACTTGCATAGAGTGGCTGAGTTACAAAAAAGTGCGAATCAAATAATCGATACTGAAGTTTGAAGATGGAGTTTATTTTGTAACAGATTACTAACATGCCCATGTGTGCAATTTAAAGAAACTTGTTGTTAGCATTCGTTAGATTGATAAAATAGGCAAATGCTATTTGCATGTGTACCAAAGGACCATTTGTATCTAACAGTACAAGATATGACGAAAGAAATACAATGTAAATACCTAATGTTCTATTTCACATGATTACAATAAGGAAGAGACAATAGACACATGAGCGCTAATGACAGGTAAATGGCGCCCATGCGTCTAAGATCTCTTCGGTGTTCTTCTTCTTTACCTGTGCTAAAATACGTCATATTTAAAATGTACCAACTAGCCCACATCACTTCAATGTTGAAGAAAACGTATTTACAGCACATATACTTTATGAAATTTCTAAGCATTATAAGAAAACGGATGTTTAATATATTTATTGTAAAAACTGTAGTTATTGATAATAAGAAGTCTCCATGAGCTTCCAGCCTAAATGCGTAATGGCATTTTTTTTCTTTTCAAAGGAGAGTGTCTAATGGCATTCATGGCTTAGTGACAAAGCGTGCACTTTTATAAAGCGGTAACGGAGCAATGCTTGTCCAGTCGGGGATATTTCTGGACGTTGCTTTTGTGTTCTTGCGGATAGTCCTTCAACTAAAAATTCTCCTTTAACTTATAAATGTTCTAATCAATGTACAAAGTACATCAGCCGACCATTTTTGCAGGTGGTTTAAATTTCCGGAGCTCTCCACTACGGCGTCTTTCATAATCATATAGTGGTTTTGGGACGTTAAACCTCACAAATCAATCAATCATTTTTGCGAGCGAGAAGCCATTAGCACGGAAGACAAGACTACATGGTGGTTCAAACGTGCACGCGCTCATCGGCTTAGGCAATGCGGTAGTGTTCAGGCGGCAAAAATGAAACTCTTTTTTTCAGTCAAGTTCTCTAGCATCTGCAGTGTTTTAGGCCACTTTCATCGAAAACAAAATTTTCTGGAGCTTATAGCTGAAAGCGCTTCTAAATGCAGATCGCCTAAGACTGCCTTGCGGAAGCGTGTTGTGTTCTAGTGCTGTCATTTTATATATTGATACTGATGTGTTATCAGTAATTCCGTCTCTCCATTAATACTGGTGCTTTCACGATGATAAACTTTTATTGTGATAGCAATTGTACGCACAATCTATAGTTTTTGCCGCTAGCATCGGCGCTCTGCATCGCGTATGTATACGTATCTATATATACGAAAACTCACGAAAGAAAGAAAGCCGCCCGCGCTCGGCACCCAGATCGTCGAGATGTGCTGACGCGCGTTTATCTCCCACGCGTACTTTGCCCCGCGAATGGGGGTGGGGGATTTAGATGCTTGTGTGCACGCACTTATCCTTCGGTGGAGAGAATCGTGCGCCGTCGGCTTTGACCGGGACGATTGCGTTTAGTTGCCGAGTGCGCAAAGATCACTTGCTGGACAGGCGTCGTTTGCGAAAAGAGTGCGCTTTTCAAACACGGCAAAGTAACAAAACTAACAACTAGGGCACTTCTTAGTTTGTAGTCTTCTGTACCTGCGATTACTTTTGGTGCGTCGTTTTTGTTTAAACAGCGCGTTAAGTGTCCAGCAGTAAGCGTTGTTATTTCGCTCTCGTCCTCTGTGTGTGTTTTTTGGGGGGTCATGCGTGAGTGCGCAGCACGCTGCACGTTTCGATCTGCTTGCCGTTTTCAGCGTTCCAGTCGAAGTTGTTGCTATCGCACGCCCTTGTGGCAAAACTGTCACTTTTATTACCAGTTGAAATTGAGTCACAATATTGTTTGGAAGTTACTCAATGACTTGCGCTGTTACTGATATTTCGATATACAAAATCCTCAGGTATGAACCAATCGAAGTCTAGAAAACACAGAGCCCACATGAGGCACTCAAAATGACTAGTTCTTTGTGCCTTTTCTTTTCATTGTGGCTTAGTTGTTCGGGTAATTTCATTTCTCAAGAACGCGTGAAGAACTTTTCAGCATTCTTGTGAACTATTCCACGAACATATCAGCGTGCTCAGGCATCAATATGTATTCATTGTCACCTCATTGCGCACTGCTTGAAAGACTAACACTATAAATGAAGGACTAGATTGACACATCCTTCATCTCTAATGTTCGTCTTTTAAGCAGTGCGCAATAAGGTGACAATGAATAGCTACCAGCTCGTCCAAACAAGTACTTTTATCGATATGTAGTTTTATCTTCACCAGAGTGGACAAATACGCTTCAAAATAGCAAGCTTTAGAATTCGAAGAAGGTGAAACTTCAATAACCGTTTTGTATGCATTCTGGCGTTAATATCTTCATTAAATGTTGTTTAGACCTGGCGGGAAGTTATGGATTAGTCAAAGTATTTAGTCGCAATTCTCCACGTATAAAAACAAACAAGACAAACAAACAAATACTTGATTACCGCTGCTCGTGTTATACCAAATTAATTTTGCATATCCCTTTGCACAACAATTCAGATCATCCACGTTCGCTGTATTTATTTTTTATTTTTATTTACAAATACCTCACATGCTCCAAGTATGAGCATTATGTGAGGGGCACTATACAATAGTTATTTGAAAAGAACAGAAAACAAACGAAAAGAATTCAAAAGCCCCGTATTATACAATTGCTAAAATGTTCGATAACATACACTGTAGTATTATGACACTAATATGCGTTATACATTTTTGAACTGTTCGAGATGTCAATGTACGATGAATGGAGGCGAATATAAAATACATGCTTAGGAAACACAGTCATATGTACTTAGTATTTCATTCCTAAACGACGCGTGATCCCGAATGCATACTTTATCAGGAAGGTTATTCCATTGAACTATGGCACGTGCTAGCGCGAATGTGTTAAATGCTTGGGTGCGGCTGAAATGACGAGCAAAACTATGCTGATTATTAAGCCTGTGAGATGTGCCATGAGGCTTTGTTAGTGCCAATGTATTTAGGTGCGTGCCGTAGATGCCTTTATGGAATAAACATAGAGTACCTGTCTTCCTGCGCGATTCCAGGGATGGTAGTGATAACGAAGTCTACATGTTAGTCACACTGGAATAGCGATTGTAGTCACGCGCAATGAAACGTGCAGCCCGGTCTTGCACACATTCTAGTGAGTCGATGAGATAGGCTTGGTGAGGTTACCAGATGGATGATGCGTATGAGTTGTGGAGGGACAAATGTTTGATATGCTAGTTTACGTGTTATGTATGGCGCCATATGAAGATTACGTTTCAGGTATCCGTGTGTGCGCAATGCTGTGGCAGTAATTTTGTCAATGTGCCTTAACCATGCAGGATATATTCGAAGTGAAGTTAATGCCAAGGCACTTATAGTGGTCTTTTGCCAATATAGGTTTATTGTTGAGGGAATATGTGTGAGTCGAGTTTAACTGCTTTCAGTTGAATGTGATTAGTTTACATTTCGCAGTGTTTACCGTCATCTGCCACTTTGAGCACCAGAATGTGATTTGGCTGAGATCCTGCTCTAATGACAGATGGTCTGCTGGACTAATAATTTTGTGGTAAATGATGCAATTATCGGCGAACAGACGAATGTTTAATAAGATATGGGATAGAATGTCAATAATGTAGACGATAAATATTAAAGGATTCAGGACGCTGCCCTGAGGAACTCCACAAGTAACGTCAGATAATGAAGATGAAGAGTTAAGGACCAATGTAAACTGCTTGCGTGACGATAGAAAGTTCCGGAGCCAAGATATGGTTACAGTATCAAGATTAAGGAAAGACAGTTTAGTAATTAAACGACAATGTACGGCAAGATCAAATGCTTAAAAAATCAACGTATAAGCAGTCTGTCTGAGAGTTGCCTTCCATATTAGAATGAAGATCATAGGTGAATGCAAGAAGCTGGGTTTCACAACACCAACTCTTTCTAAAGCTATGCCGTTGGGGGCAAAAATAAAGGGTATTTCCTAAATGCTGCGAAATATTAGATGCAATGTTGTGTCCAAGTATCTTGCAAGGAATGCTAGTGAGGGATATAATCGATAGTTGTTTACATCACTTTTATTTCCAGATTTGAAGATAGGTATCATCTTGTTAATTTTTCAATCTTGTGTAAGCGTACCAGTGGATAATGATTGATTAAAGATGTGATCAAGGATCCAAATGCAAGAAATACTGGTTAGTTTGAGAATCTTAGGGTCGATACCATCAATACCAGATCTTGTGGACACCTTAAGTTTCTTCATTACGGATGCGATAC